GTTTGTGTTAATAAATACTTATTATAACTTATCTATTTTTATTAGAATTATATATTTTTATAACAATTTTAATAACTACCAACATTTATTTACAACGTAACATAAAACAACAAATTATTGAGTCTACCCCACATCTACCCTGCATCATAGTTTTACATTTTTTAAATAAAATTAGAATGACACTGATAAACCGGAATTTAAGTCGGCCATATTTGAGGCCCATCGCGGTGTACCTAAGATTTTTGATATGCTCCTTCCTTAGTCTTCTTATTCAAAGGTTTTTGGTCTCAAAATTCAAAGTCACGGTACGTCACTGGATCTATGGAAATGATTTAGTTGTTCGATGATTTTGAGAGAACGCATTATGGCCATTAAAAAATTACTAATTTTACAATTTATATATTTTTTATTTTGAATCATATAAAAACCGAACAGTGGGCTACTTAGACCAAAATCAAATCAAACGTATTGAGGTTCTAACGTGGCGCCTGCCATTCATTCTCCGCTCCGATTAAAACCAAAACAAAAGCTGAACTATATCGAAAACCTATTAATAACAACACAATTGCGACTATTTTTCTGATATCTATCCGGATAAATCCGGAAAGCGGTCGTAATCGATTGCGATAATAAGAGTAAATTAATTATTATTGTTATCGAAAAAGAAAACAATAGTGTGGAGAAATCGAGACGATGCTATATTTGGATTCTCGCACTGAAAGTCCACTCGAAAGGTCAAAATATTATTTAACAACATTGTTTACTACTAAAAATATAATATACAACCCTAGAACGTACAAATAGATACTGTAAACTGGGATATCTTTGTGAATGCAGCATAACTTTGGTACATTCTCATATTTTCACATTGTGTAATATATGTTCGTTATTTTATTATTAACTAATAATACTAAATACTAGTAATATAACTAATATACTAACGTTTAAACTACCGCCTTTTAAAGAAAATGAAATACATTTTAAAAGTGAATATGTAGTTTGTTCAAAGCCAATAGCAGAAGCCATACAAAGTCTGCAAGGCGATAAAGACTCATATTATGTTTCTCTATTACCCGAGCTAATAGGAATCCAATATATCATTAAAAGTCTTAAAATGGAAAACTTAAAATATTGCGACACTTTGCTAGATGCTATTAAAGAAAACATAAAAAGACGTTTTATAAAGTTTTTGCAATTAGAGTCCATTCTTTAAATGAAATTGGAGTCAAAATCATTTATTTGTATACTGAGACATGTATAATTAATCGGCAGAAAAATACGTAAAAAGAGAGATCTTATTTTATCTTTTTAGTGAACTCTAATTCCTCTGTTGCAAGTAGCGACAACACCAGATCTACTGGCAGCATCGCTGACTTAGAAACACTGCAATATTTAAGTACCTAATAAAGACATCAGCTTAAATATTTTTTTCCCGTGATATTTTCCATAGCAACTGTTAAAATTGCGTTATATCTATCAAAAATAGTAGATAAAATAGTACTTTAACCGCAAGGGTAGATTAAATGATACTTTAACAGCGAGTATAGGTTAAAAACTTTATTTCTTCTCGCACGTTTTTTAATTGCTTCCATTTTCGAAAATTTTTGTATTCCTTTTCATAAGTTATTCGGGATTTAAATGGAAGTAGTTTGGATATGGCGTTTGTCGCCTCAGCCTGAATATCTGTTGGTAATTTACTTATTTCGTTTTGAGTCATTTCTGGCTCCAATTCAATCAGCAATCCACACGAAAGAGAATTAAAAAATATTGACTCAAAAGAGACACTAAAGAGACATCTTTATTTATTTGTCAAATTACATAGAAACCAACGCCAACCCAGCACAATATTTTTTCTACTCGTACCTAATAAATTCCTTGAAATAATAATTTCTGAATATTTTTTAAAACGTAACTCGCTATGGAAAAAAATATTGTTTTATACACGACGATAAAATTGCATTATCGTTTCCCGAAATTAATTCACTCGCGATTTCATCGCTCGTGAATTAATCTTTTCGGTCGACGATAAAAAATACCTTTTCCAAAAGTATCTTGTATCTGATATCTCAAATACTTTGCTTGGAAGTATCTTGAAACTTGTATTTTTCGGATACTTTTTATGAGGTATCTTGTTTATATACAGGGTGGCGCACCTCATTCGCCTCGGTTGATTATACGAAAACGGAAAGATGTAGAAACAAAATATTTTATGGGTATATGTGGGGAGGTAATGTGTACAATTTAAAATTATTTTTAAATGTACAGGGTGTTTCAGAACTAAGATCCATACCAAAGTTATATTCTTTCTTATGGAACACCCGGTATTTTAATTCATTTTTGGATTTTTGGGCCCAAAAAAAGGCATTTATTGTAAGGGTTAAATATGTTTAAAATCTTTAGTTTTTGAGATATTTAAAGATATTTAAATTCGCATGCTACAATAGAATAGATTATTAACACCCTGTACATTACTTTTCAAAATTAATTCTTATGCTGAGTTTAAAGGTAGAGAAATAAACTTTACTGAAAAATGGTATTGGTTCCTTAAATTTATACAGGGCTATCAAAAGTTGCTGATCTATTTTAAAGATATATTTTATATAAAAACTTCGTTATTTCAAATGCAACACCCTGTATTTTTTTAAATAAATCGAAGCAGATTCAAATGCTCTTTTAAACTATATTAGGGTTTCCTATACCTATCTAGCTCAGATTTTCAATAAAAAGCGATTTTTAAATAAAATTGCAATCAAGATGGCTGGTGTCGCCATGGCAATTTTCTAGTCACAGTTAAGCTGCGTCCTCACTGAGTCGACACTGTCAATCGACCATGTCTATCGACATTGTTGATCAACAAGTCGACAAAACGCATCTGTCCACACCAGATTGACAAAAATGTTTGTCGATCAGTCGAAATCAACATGTCTGACGAAGATGACGCAATAGTTGCTTGTGCCGCATATATTATTATTGCCACTAAAAAAGAAAAATTTCACGCAAAAGAAAATTTTGGGTTCAACCAAGTCTTCAAAGTAGAACTAATAATAATACAACGTAATACAACGCCCTCTAGTAATTTGATAGAAGATTTAAAGAAAGATGACGTCAACATAATGAGTCTTGAATACAGGTGTAATTGTGGTTTTAGATTTTTTTTTTCGAATGTCGGAAAGTGAATTTGAATATTTATTACAAAAAATCGGGCCAAAAATTTGTAAAGAAGACACCAATTGTCCATTTTTTCAACGAAAAAGCATGATTACGATATCAACTAGCCAAGCCGTCACTGTGTATAACAGTTTGTCGAATGTCGAACGTCGAAAACAGGTCCACACACTAATATCGATCGACTGTTCTTTGATGTTTACCCACGGACGATGGAAAGCAAATCGACATGTCGATCGATTAATTCAGTCGATCGACTCCGTCGATTGCCACGTACACACCAAGTCAACAGCATCGATAGACAGGGTCGATCGACAGTGTCGACTCAGTGAGGCCGCAGCTTTAGTAACTATTTTCAAAGTCGACATTAGTTTATGGAATGGACATTATTATTTATAATTTATAACAGTTTACTTAAATTTACCTACAATAGTTTAATAAGTAAGTATTCATTATTTTATCAAGAAAAATAAAGCAATATCTGCTTGCGGAACAAATAGATATTATGTGACTAGTGATATTATTTTGTGAGGAAAATTACTTCTTGGCCTCAAGGGCTTACGCTCAAAGATATCCAAATAGGAATCTTCCTGATAAGCGTTTCTTTGAAAAACTTCTTTGAAAAACTTCTGTCCTATTTCGCAGAGCTGGTAGTGTGGTTTATAAAAAACCTATTAGGCAGAAACCTGTCGTTGGAAGTGAATAAAATGAATTTGCGGTAATTGGCTATTTTATACAAAATCCATATATCCACAAGTCATCGTAAAATAATTCAAAGAACTACTTCTTCGTTTTTCTTGATAGAATAATATACACATCACATAAGTATTTACTAAATATTATTTATTAAACTATTGTAGGTAAATTTAAGTAAACTATTATAAATTATAAAAAATCATGTCCATAAACTAATGTCGACTTTGAAAATAGTTACTAACTGTCACTAGAAAATTGCCATATGGCGACACCAGCCATCTTGATTGCAATTTTATTTAAAAATTGCTTTTTATTGAAAATATGAGCTAGATAGGTATAGGAAACCCTAATATAGTTTGAAAGAGCATTTGAATCTGCTTCGATTTACTTAAAAAAATACTGGGTGTTGCATTTGAAATAACGAAGTTTTTATATAAAATATATCTTTAAAATCGATCAGCGACTTTTGATAGCCCTGTATAAATTTAAGGAACCAATACCATTTTTCAGTAAAGTTTATTTCTCTACCTTTAAACTCAGCATAAGAATTAATTCTGAAAAGTAATGTACAGGGTGTTAATAGTCTATTCTATTGTAGCATGCAAATTTAAATATCTTTAAATATCTCAAAAACTAAAGATTTTATAAACATATTTAATTCTTATAATAAATGCCCTTTTTTGGGCCCAAGAATCCAAAAATGAAATAAAATACCGGGTGTTCCATAAGAAAAAATATAACTTTGGTATGGATCTTAGTTCTGAAACACCCTGTATATTTCAAAATAATTTTAAATTGTACACATTGTCTCCTCACATATACCCATAAAATATTTTGTTTCTACATCTTCCCGTTTTCGTATAATCAACCAAGGCGAATGAGGTGCGCCACCCTGTATATCTTGAGTTATCTTGTACTTAGGGACTATTAAAGACAGTGTTTACAAAAGTCTGTTGACAATATGGGAGAAAGGATTGTTGCTGCTTTTCGAAGTAACTCCTCCTGAAATGAAAATTTATTTATTTTGAAAAGAAAACCATTTTATGCAATGAACAGAAATTACACAATTTGTATGATATAAAAGCTTGTCTTTTAATTCCTAGAGGGTTTTCCGTTTTACATATTATTGTCAATTCCAGATCAGACGAAGGACTTACTCCAGTCCACATAGCAGCCGCTTGGGGCAAAGTCGACATCCTCAAACTTCTGCTGCGCAATGGAGGCGACCCCGAGGCGAAAGACCTCAATCGGAAGACTCCGCTGCACTACGCGGCATCGGAAAACTTTACGGAGTGTTTGGAGCTGCTCCGGGCTTACGTGCCGGAAACCGGAAGTCTCCTAGCGCAGAATGACGCATCGGACGTGAACTGTTTAGTATTAGGTGAGTGCTGTAGATGGCATGTCGACATAAAATGCGTTCTCTCGTATCTTCTTCAGTTTGATAGAACCTTCACTGGCTTTGTCCGTCAACCGTCAATGCCATTAATTTTAGATGTCTATTCAGCTTACAATGGCTCTGTTAGTAGATCCACTAAAACTTTGTCTTTCTGTCTTTGTCAGGTCTGTCGTGAATTTTGGCGAATGTTCTACTATTAGTCGAGTAAAAACGATATGAAAATGTGTCAAAATATTTTTTGAAGGTATAACTACATCATATCTATACAGGATTATCAGTTAGGGCATTGTGCATGTGAAATGACTAATTACGACCTTTTTGGGGGGGGGGGTCAGAAATTTTTTATCTTAGAAAATGTCAAAAATCTGTCAAAAATTTATAACGTTTTTTGACCTTTCCTACGCGATAACTCCTAAACTAATCAACTTATTCACATACTCTTTTTTTTAATCGATTGAGAACACATAGGCGGTTATCGCTGAAGTAATTAAAGTTCCATAGTGAGTGTATTTTCTTTTGGAAAATGGATTAAACTTCAAACATTAACTTTATTGTATCATGATTTTCGGTAAGCGAGAAACTTTTTTATTTGAAGGAATTTTTACATAGTATCTGCGTATGAAATAATATATGAGTAAAAATATTGAAAAAGTTTTTAAAACTTGTTACAATCTTCTATTGCTAATACTTTTCTAGTTATCCTAAATTAAATTTACGAATAGGCCGCGCGCGAGACCGCTCGGGCCTCGCCGACCCGAGACTCTTCGATTTTAGTTGGTGGCACGGCGAACACGAAGTTCCGTAAGCTTATTTCTGATTATGTGCATTGTACCTGTAGTTTGATATTTAGTAAATTCTGTACGTTATAAATTATTTAGTTATGGACTGTTTCATTTGCAGAAAAACTATTAACGAAAATGATAAATTTTTTTATTAAAAATCCTACTATACGAGACCTAAAAACTATCATAAATGATGCGGAAAAAAGGCAAAATGATGTTGCTGTGACTATTAAGCCAAAAAGATGATAATATCATCTTTTTGGTTTAATATATTAATTAATAATTGTTAATATATCATATTAACAATTATTAATTATTAATATATTATATTAACAAAAAGAAAACTAGTTAAATATGAGATTTTGATATTATAATAATGTGTTTGATATGTGATAAAATAGGAAAAAAGGGCAAACATCACAAATTAACATCTAAGCTTGTTGGAAAAAAATGTTGTTTACAAAGATAGTATACTTGCCAAGTAGGCAAATATTGGCCTACTTGCCAAGTATACGAGTCGTCAGAATCCGCCTTTATATGTAGGTACGCAAAGTTTTCTGGATATGACGATTTATTTGTATATGATGCTAAATACCACGTTTGTTTATATAATCTCAAACAAATCAAGGCTAAATTAACGAGATTTTTAATTAAGAAAGCATACTATACATTGGATGAATTTTTCACTGACATAGATTAGTATTTTTATAATATCTCTTCCCGCTTTTATTGTTTGTGATAAAAATGTTGTGCTGTTTCCTTGTGTGCTTTTTTTTAAATAGGTAATTATAGTTTTTGTGTTATAGATAGCAATTCATTCAAACATATTTCATATCATGTGAAATGCTATAAATGCTATTAAATGCATGTGATTCACATATATTTTAATTTCTAATTCTACGTTAAAATTACTTTTAGTAATTTTTTTGCATTTTAATTGAAAGTATATTTATTTTTATAGTAAATATTTATTTAATATTAATTGCGATATACATACATATGCATATCTTTTTATTCAACTGTAGTCATATACATAATTAAGTACCTATTATTGGTTTTTAGGCTTAAGTTAATTCAATTTTAACAATGCTTCATGCTTATTAGGATTTGTAACAATACTTTGTTATAGTTAGAGATCAAATAAATATTATCTAGCCTAACATCCTTCATTAAAATCTATAACGTTGGATAGAAAAGAATCTAATAAAAAGATTCGAAGAAGAGAAAAATCTAAAAAAGAATCTAGCGTGGCAAGTAGTAAGTAATCTAGCATGGCAAAAGTAACTTTTTAAACTGAACTGATTTTAACAACATTTTAGTTGACAACGAAATTTTTGTTTCCAAAATATTATACTTGATATTTATAAACAATCCACCTACCGAATGTGATACCATATATACTTCGATGGTAAAATTAGTAGATTTAGGTCAAACTTTAAAACAAAACCATATTTATATAACAGCACGCTTGGTCATTTGTACAAAAGCTCGCGAAATATTACGGAATAATCCTAAATTATTACATGGGAAATTAACATTTATGCTACGCGGAATGCACCTTAATCCGGCGCTTTTTGTCAGTATTGGATATATTTTTTTTTGAGATGGAGACTTTTTGTCATTTTTACGGAAACAGATAATTACGTCGAAAATACTTGTAAAGTTACGTAAGATGAAAAATAATATTCCAGGGCTATTCGAGGGCTAACTTTAGTTGCCGATGCTCTTTTTAGGTTTTTGTTTAAATCTTTATGTAAGTGGTATAAAGAGCAAAATCAGAAAACACAAATGATTACACCAACATATATTAAAAGAAGAAATTCGTAGTTTAATAAAAGAGTTTCAATCCTATGCAAACTTCAGGATATGCCCTTATTATGTAATAAAAAAAATGTAATCATGTTTTCATAAAAAAAATATTACAAAAATATGTCATATTAAATCGACACCTACATATGTGCCACTCAGATATTAAGTAATTCCTTATAAAGAATTGTCTACATTTACTCTAAAACATAAATTAATGCCACATCTAGCACGCCGCGCCGTACAACGTGATGGAGCCGGGCGGTATATAGCGCGGCGACTCTAACTACAGCGCGCGCACGGGATACTGATAACTTTAAATCAGTATAATTATAAAACTATTAGTAATAGAAGGTTGTAACAAGTTTTAAAAACTTTTTCAATATTTATTCTTTATTTCATACGCAGATACTACGTAAAAATTCCTTCAAATAAGAAAGTTTCTCGCTTACCGAAAATCATGATACAATAAAGTTAATGTTTGAAGTTTAATCCATTTTCCCAAAAAAAGTACACTCACTATGGAACTTTAATTACTTCAGCTATGACCGTCTATGTGTCCTCAATCGATTAAAAAAAAGAGTATGTGAATAAGTTGATTAGTTTAGGAGTTATCACGTAGGAAAGGTAAAAAAACATGGTTATAAATTGTTGACAGTTTTTTGACAATTTCCGGGATAAAAAATTTCTGACCCCTCCAAAAAGGTCGTAATTAGTCATTTCACATGCACAAAGCCCCAACCGATCATTTCATAACGATTTTATGTGGTTATACCTTCAAAAAAAAATTTTCGAGAAGGAAGCGACTTTTCTCAGTAATTTTACTCCACTATATGAACTTTTTCGCCTGTCTCTGACCTGGTGAGTTTCTTCTCCATTCTACCAAGCATGTTTTTTAAGTAAGTACCGTTTTGGAATTAAAAAAAAACGTACAAAGATATCGCAATAATTTTATTTTTACATGAAAGCCTGTACCTTAATCTACTTTTCTACATAATTTCCGTGAATATTGAGGCACTTGTCATAACGTGGCACCAGTTTTTCAATACCCTCCTCATAAAATTCTGCCGCCTGACTGGTTAACCACTGTATCACAACTGTTTTGACTTCGTTATCGTCTTGAAGACGCTGACCGCCCAGGTGTTTCTTCAAGTGCAGGAATAAATGGTAGTCACTGGGCGCCAGATCAGGGCTGTATGGAGGATGATCTAGAGTTTCCCATTTAAAAGATTTGATGAGATCTTTGGTCCGATTAGCCACATGTGGACGGGCATTGTCATGCAGCAAAACAATACCCTTACTCAACTTGCCACGTCTTTTGTTTTGGATTGCACGGCGCAGATTGTTCAATGTCTCACAATAAGATGCTGCATTGATTGTCTCATTACGAGGCAGAAACTCCACTAGCAATACTCCTTTTCTGTCCCAAAAAACTGTGCCCATGATTTTCCGGGCAGAAATTGTTTGCTTAAACTTCACTGTTTTGGGTGATGATGAATGTCGCCATTCCATGGACTGTTGTTTCGATTCTGGTGTGACGTAGGCTACCCATGTTTCGTCACCAGTAACAATTTTGTCTAAAAAATCTTCACCTTCATTGTGGTACTGCTCAAGGAAAGTCAATGCACTGCCTAAACGTTGGGTTTTGTGCAAATCCGTCAACATTTTCGGAACCCAACGTGAACACAATTTCGGTAATTCAAGTTCTCGGTCACAATGCGATACAAAACACTACGAGAACATTGAGGAAAGTAGTCGCACAATGATGAAATTGTAAAGCGTCTGTTTTCTTTCACCTTTTCGTCCACTTTCTGCACCAAATCTTCATTAACGACCGAAGGACGCCCAGTCCGTTCTTCATCATGCACATTTGTGCTGCCATCTTTAAATGCTCTCACCCATTTCCTTACCATTCCATCACTCATAATGTTTTGTCCGTAAACTTCACAGATCTCACGATGAATATCGACCAGTTTTACGCCTTTAGCACTAAGAAATCGTATGACAGCCCGTACTTCACAATCGGCGGGGCTCACGATTGTCGGAGGCATCTTAAACACTCAATAAACAACGTATACAATGAAGAATCAGACTGTACTGGCGTCTGTGCATAGACAAGAGATGCAGGTAACCAGCGCGCATGCGCGGAACGCCGACCGTAGCGCTGCGGCGGCGAAATCGCAAAACGGTACTTACTTAAAAAACATGCCTCGTAGATATTGGTCACCATTAAAGTTGTAACTGTAAAATGTTAATTTTTCCTTTATTTTAATGGTAGAAATTAAAAATGTAATAAGTGATACACAGGGTGTTTCATTAAAAAATTAAAATTCAACTAAAGTAAAAATAAAATTGTAATATTTTTTTTAGTAGGCGGTAGGCGTTCAACGGTCCCAACACTCATAATTTCTAAAAACGTAATAATTTAGCTACTCTGTATAAATATAAATAAAAAACAAATTGTGTATTATACATCTAGATGTTAGCGAAAATTGTGTATTTATAATGTGAATTGTGTATTTATGATGTGATTAAAAGTAAAGAAAAAAAGTACAATTATATTTATTGCGGAATATGATAACTAATGTAGGTCATAGAGATAATGTGTCTAAAATACGTACAAGTAGATCCCCAAATTTTAGTTATATACTGATAAATGTGTTCAACATTTCTCTGAAAGAGAATCTCATAAATAGAAAAATATTGACTTACAACATTTTATACTTTCATCATCAAAATATAGGATTATTTTCAATTGTGTAAAGGCTTTTAACTGTCAAAGCGTTAATTATTTTTTGTTAAAGTCCACGTCTACTAGATCATATTTTTTTCATCATGCGATATATTTGTATTGTACAGGGTGTCCCAGGTTTGTGTGTATTAGAGGATTTTTCGTTTATAAGCAGAAGTCTCCTAAAGATGCACGTTTCAAATCATTATGCTGCTTTTTTATGAAAAAGTGGGATACCCTGTGGCGGACGCCAGACGTCGCTAGGAAACCGTACCTTTAATTCATAAACTCAGTTTTTATAAACTTTACCCAAGTAGCATTTGGACGTTATTTAACGTCGGGTATACGTCGCGTCCAATAAACCCGACGTCGGGTACCAACGTCGGTTCGACCGCCTGACGACCCTTATTTGCACCTAAATGGGGAATACAGATTCGGGTCGCCTCGACGTCGGTATCTGACCTAATAGGAAATGTAATTCTACCCATTACCAACGTCATATTACGTTGGATTTTAGTTACTTAAAATTCGTCGCTAAGCACTTACGTTACGTTTGGTTTCATATTCGCTACCAAGAATACATAAAAACCTAACCAAACTACCTAATTACAAATGGCTTCATAATCACTCCTCGAATATAACTATAAGTGCCTACCTAATTTCATATTATATAATAATTCTGAATCATTAATCCAGACATCAGTTTTGTCAACGGAAGTCACTTTTTTGATATATCTGATTAAAATACTCCGGAAAACAACGAGCGCCTTCAAAATTAGGTAGATTTATGAAATAAAAATATCTATAAAAAAGTAACTCGCAAAATATTTTTTTATTTTCTAGCTGGTTTAATCATAAAACTGTACTGTGGTTCCCCCCAACTCAACCTTATCAATATTAGTCTACTAGAAATCGGAATGTGAATATAAATTTTAAAAACAAAAAACGATTTTAAAATGGCTGACAATCGGATACTTGTTAAGAATGGCGGATTCCTGTGTCCGACTTAATATGAACTACCAATATACCAATTCCGACCGGGTCTCCAATATTAGTCGTCTCACACGACCGAAGTCATCAAACCGGACGACCGGCAATCGTATCATGATGTATATAATTCCAACGTACGCCACGTAACCTCACTTTGCGTATCAGTGATTTGTGGATTTGTGCAACTATATTTTAGTTTTTGTTTTCTCCTTAAAAAAAAGGGCAGCCTCTTTTTTAAGATAGTATATATACAACATTTAAAAGAATTGGAACCAGTACCTCACATGTAGGTGGAGGATGGGGTCTGCTGGTTTCCTAAGCTAAAAAATGAAATTAAGATGCACCAGTGTAATGTAGCATCTCTTCCGGATAAAAAGCATTCGTGGGTTGAGGCAAGACATCACTACTACTATTATTATTTTATTTATTAGCTTTCTGTAAAATGTAGATGAATGTCTAAATGCCTTTTTAGTGTTTTTTTAGGCATAATAAGAAAATTAAGTTTGTTTACAAAAACTTTTTATTAGGTTATGTTCATGATGTTCATTAGGCCGCAAATGCTACTTAATGGGTTGTATTTACGGACGTAAACAGAGATACGTAAATTAGGTTATAAATATGAACATAAAATACAACAAAATATAATTGGACGTTACTTTAGGGATTATCAGTGGGACGTATCCTATTCGGACAACGGGTAGACGTCGGGCTAGTTCAAGTATATGTACGTCGTGCAAGCCAACGTGGGAACGACGTTGGGAAATTAATAAAAATGGTACGTTGTTATTTTGTACGTCGACAGATCGTTGGATTTACCAACTCGGATCCAACGACGATGCTTTTAATAGGAAAGCGACGTCACCGGTCATATCACCACCACCCGACCTAAATTTGCACAAAGTCTGACGTCGCTTCAGGTCAGATTTAGTTCGAAGTTAGATAGATGCTACTTGGGTAGTATTTGGCTTATTTTACAGGGTTAATTAAATGGTTGTTATTTACCCTAACTTTAAAACACCCTGTGCAATCATTTCGTGAGTAACTTTTCCTAAAATATTATTTTTCGATTAGAACCATGTCTTCTGAGCATATAAAACATGTTTCACGGTTAATTTTTAAGAGCGAAATGAACTTGCCACCAACAATTTCCAATCTTTTCCAACTATCTATAATTACTTTATGATGTAATAATCTTAATAAATATTAGTAACACTAACAGAACTAAGGATATTAAAGAAATAACTGTAATAACTAAGTGTACAAACAAACAATAAACTTATAAAAGAAAGCCTCCCCCGGCTGCTATAACCGTGCTGTAACTCTCTGCAGACGTCGCGTCGGTTCATAATGAGGCTTCAGCTATATTGTGTTATGTTTTCTTATTCTTCGTCAAGGATTTTCAAGGATCAAGCGAATATTCATCAGCCTTCTTCAACAGGATCTCAACTTTTGCACGATCTTTGACACTAAGAACCATATTCAAACCAAACCATATTCATTCGTACACAACAATTATCACCAAAGCCACCTCGTCATTATGAAGAATAACATTAAAAAGTACCGATAATTGAAAATATTGTAAAATATTTGTGGCAAGTTCATTTTGCTCTTAAAAATTAACCAAGGCATATGTTGACACGAGTCAACAAACAAAATATTCAGGAGATATGGTTCTGATCGAAAAATCATGTTTTAGGAAAATTTGCTCACGAAATTATTGCACAGGGTGTTTTAAATATAGGGTCAAAAAAATAACTCTTCGATTAACCCTGTATATGTCAAATACTAAAGTTTATAATAAACTGAGTATACGAATTAAAGTTGATATATTAATATACAGTTTGCTAAAAAAAACTCACAGATTTCGCAATCGCTGCAACCATCAGAGACATTGGAAATGATAACACCACATATAAAACATAATTAACGTTATATATTTGCAGCTAAACTTGATATAAAGAAACACCCTTCTTAATAATAATAACTAATAATGATTAGAAGAAAAAATAAACATAATTAACGTTATTTTGCAGATTGCGTTAATGCAGATACATTAAAATTAAGTAAATATATTGTTACGTTTTTCGTCGGTTCCGTGTGGATAGAAAGTCCCAATTTATTTAAACACAATTTATGTAACACTAATTAACAAAAACAATAACGATAAAAGACTTAAAGAACTATTTCCAAACGATTTATAACTAAAGAATTTATTTTGAATTTTAGCGCGTCAACTGTACTCGTCTATTTATGTCTGTCCTCTTTAGGCCCCAGCCGCTGGCTTTTATACCCACAGCTAAAGAATTCTCGATTAGTCCATAGATCGTTAGGTGCATAGAGAAGGTTTCGAATGTTTTCGTATGTACTAGTCAATTCCAGTGGAACTCGTTTTTTCTCGAACGGTGGAATGAATCATTACGGTGTCTATTCTTTAATTCGATGTTAAGGTCATCTGAGGGCGGGACATATAGTTAGGTTAGGTCGAGTCCACACGGGTCCGCAACAATATTATATCTTTTAATCCTTAAATCATTTCTGAAATATATCAATACCTAAATAAAAATATCGTTTCGTTACAAACAACATAAATAATTGTCAAAACCCAAATCAAAAATTACGAAAATAGTACTGTTTTGTAACCTTTACAAATATCAATATCAATCTATTCAATTTTATAATCGCTCCCCGTAGCATAGTCGTCAAGTAATATCGTCGGGACTAACAAAATTAAACCTCGTATATCGCCGAGAGTTTCGTGCTGTCAGGCCAGTTCACCTAAATTAGGCATCACGCGACAAAGTTTTGATGCTTTATTTTGGTCGACTGTGCGACACCGTTGCTGACGACCTTGAAAGAAAACTCGAAATTTGGCCCCCATATACGAACATAAACATTTCCAATGTTAAAATAAGGAAATAAGGACAAAAATAAAAAAATACACTAGACGAGAAAATGTTTTGTTGCGTTCTTTGCATTTCAGTGTATAAATATTTGATCAGCTTGATACAGTTTGATGATACTAAATAATATTGACTTTTAGTCAGTGAGTTAACCCTTCGTGTTTATTAAGTAAACACTCACTAGGCAAACAATACAATTTTTTAGAAGTCTGAAATAATTCCCATCACATTTCAGATAAGATCGTCGTCAACAACGGCCACGTTGTCGGCGAGTACGAACTCGAACCAGTATCGACCCCGATCAGTATTAACCTAGACGATAAAAACCTGCACACCCTACCCGAAACGGACGCCACTGAGTATATTCTCAATTGGTTTGACCAGCAACAGAGCGTGACCAGCAGCACCCCCACCGATAGCTTGGAGAGGCATTTTGGCAGTGCCACAAGCCTGGACCAATCGGACAACTCGGTTGCTGAATCTGAAGGCGACAGGAGTAGCAAGCGATACGATCAGCAATATATCACCTTCAGGAAGGTGAGTACCATAGATATTATCAAAGATAATACCAAACAATATCTAGATCGTAGATTTTTTGCACATTATTGTTTCACGAGATCTATATCAATATACTTTTTGCACATGTTGCACACAACATTTTTTCTACGATCGAATTGAAATTCTTATTTAAATGTTTATTAAAAAGTTTTTCCAGTAATTCACAGAATAATATTATTTTTTTAATAATCTTATTTGAGTCCATTTTAATTTTTGCAGTTTGAACAATTCACTAAGGTAATTGACAAACTTCGATCATTTCCAGTAATCTTTTGAATTTTATTTTCATTTCTGCTCATGGAGGTCGCGAGTTCTTGTTCTTCACTTAAAACTCTATTTCGTTTTTTTTTGGGAAGTGACTCTTCAATGTAACCCTCAACTACATTTGAAGACTTCCATCCTTCATGATGTTTCAGCATTAACAATGTCTGCCCCAGATTCCACAAGCAGTGTTGCAGAAGATCTGCGGAAACAACGTCCTGTATATTGCATTGGATCTTTAATATTAAGATATTTTGCAATGTCACTGGGAATTTTACTGAAAGAATTTACTCTAACAGGTTGTACTGAGACTGAGAATCCTCCATTAAAATATATTATAACAAATCTATTATGGCTGGTAGATTGAGGATGAAGAAATGCATATTTGCGATACATTTCAATAAAATTATATCTATTTTAACTCTATATATTTCTAACACTATATATACAGGGTGAGTTTCCTACGATGTTCTCTATGGGTATCTCGGAAACTACTGGAGATAGAGAGTCTGTTAAATGGTTAAAGAATTGCAGTTTTGAGGGGTCATAAATATGCGCCTTTCAGATTTTTGAAAAAGTTCATGGCTTACTAGATATTTCGAAAAAAAACAAATTTCGGCTATTTTAAAAATTGTCCCTAATTCCATTATAAGCTATTTTAGACAAAAAGTTTTCAGATAAAAGTTGTAGATAATCACATCCTTAATGAGACTGTGTCCTCCGTTTTTTTCTAAAGCCTGTCATTTTTGACATTGACACAAACATATGCTTTTTTAAATGGAAACCATAGTTGGCCATGACTTCATAAAAAGCGCCATTTTTTAAGCTTTTTAATTATATAAGTTATATCTTTTCTTCGAAAAATTACTGAGTTATAGCCAATTCTTATCAATTTTAAACAAATTCACTTAGTTAGCCATGGAAACAAGTTCAATCGCTCTTACGGTTCTTTACAATTTACATTACACAAACTAAAACTTAAAAAAATAATATCACTACATACACTTTAAGTTATTTTAGAAAATGTTCAAAAAATCCGCCATTGTTTTGAGTTGCATCTTTGTAAAACTGAATTACTACATTCTCATAGAAGGACCGGTCGGCTTAATTAAACTTTTCTCGTACCGCCACTTCTAGTGTCACTCTTAATTCAAAAGTTCTTTGTAAACCTTATTGTTAACTATACCGCATATAAACTTCTATAATGGATAGGTCAGGTGATCGGGGAGGCCCATGCAATTAGTCCACCTCTTCCTATCCCTGCGTTTGTATGATTATGATACAAATTATTTTTAACATTTCTCTCATTATGGGGTTGGGGGGGGGTCATAATGGAAGATCATGTTGGAACCACTCTATTGATGCGCGAGTATCTACACGCCTTTCTTCATTTGAAAAATTCATATTTACAATTTTTGTTTATTTTAATTTACAAAGTTTGGATGTGACAGCTTCACATTTCTGAGAGCAACGGCGATTGAACTTGTTTCCATGGCTAACTAAGTGAATTTGTTTAAAATTCATAAAAATTGGCTATAACCCTTGTCTATAACTCAGTAATTTTTCGAAGAAAATATATTATAGCTTATATCACTAAAAATCATAAAAAATGGCGATTTTTATGAAGTCATGGCCAACTATGGTTTCCATTTAAAAAAACCTATGTTTGTGTCATATGTCAAAAATGACAGGTTTTAGGAAAAAACGGAGGACAAAGTCTCATTAAGGATGTGATTATCTGCAACTTTTATCTGAAAACTTTTTGTCTAAAATAGGTTATAATGGAATTAGGGACAATTTTTAAAATAGCCGAAATTTGTTTTTTTCGAAATATCTAGTAAGCCATGAAATTTTTCAAAAATCTGAAAGGCGCATATTTATGACCCCACAAAACTGCAATTCTTTCCCCATTTAACCGACTCTCTATCTCCAGTAGTTTCCGAGATACCCATAGAGAACATCGTAGGAAACTCACCCTGTATATTATCTGGAGCTTCAATTAAAAATTTGTCAAATTCCTGTCGGGTAAGAATTTTTGATTTCTTGCGACGGTATCCTACAGACTTCTTCAAAAATGGAATTAATTTGGTAAAATGTCGGATTTCAACATTTTTACTTATTAAAACACCTTGTTTTTATAATTTAGATATACTACTACTTTAAATTTGTTAAAATAACTTATTTTGGCACTAGGGTAAGATTTTATTTTTAATACAGTAGTTGGGTGTAAAAAAAATTCAAAATTGTTTGTTGATTAAACACCAACAAAAAAGTCGTTTACTGCATATAGGGCTCTCTCCAGTAAGTATGATTTCAGAGCTTTGTGAAATGCGGGAGAGAATGAAAGCGACTTGATATTCAAAGGCAGATGATGGTACATTTTTTGGCATTGTACAGTATTGAGCCTTTAAGTAGTTCTGAGCTCGGGGTTGGCAGATAAAGATCGTGCTCCGCATTCCTAAGTGGATAGTTGTGAGATGGCCTTTCGGGAATAGCAGATATGTGCTTGGGGATTAAGCAAACGATATTTCAATTCACGGTAACCGAGGGGCAAACCGCTGCCAAAAATGGTGTACAATAAATACCAATTTTGGGATTTAGAATCAAAAATACCAAATTAGTACCAAAGTCTGTCTTAAGCAACATGTTTAAAAATTTGTTTGCTGGCATTGATTCTGGCCTAAATTCTGGCTTATTCTCATCAGGTTCATTGTCGGGTTCATTTAGACAAACCATCATCGTTTCCTTAAGAGCTTTCGATATTTCTCCATTTTCCTTAAGAGTAGAATTTATTTTCTCTAATATCGAAATAAAGTTGGTTATAAGAGGTTGATTATACTGAAACTTTTCAATTTTTCTTTTATTCTTTTGCGAGCGGCTGTATTTTTTAGACTTCCAAATTGAATTATTGCTTGTTGATGGTAAGGTTGAAGCGGCAGCTGATAATGGTAGTAAATGGGTAACATCGGGGAGATAATTATTATTGCTTGTGGATGGTATGGCTAAAGTGGCGGCTGATAAGGGTAGTTCCGACGCTCGTTTAGTTGGGGGGGGATAATTACGCAGTCTAGTATTTTTACATTAGGATTTCTTTGATTAAAGGGATACAATTTTGCTACATGAGGGTTTGCATGCCTCTGTAATTTCCTCGGTATTTTCCGTAGAAGGCTCGGTAGAAGGCTTTTTTAGAAATAAAGTTATTTTTGGTTGTGCCTGAGGTATTTGAAGAATTATTGCTTACCTCTGATTTAACCTCGGATTTAACACTGCGATTATTATTAATTTTTGGTATAAATAATTTATTTGTTATATCAAAATGGCTTTATCAAGTATGTTTGTTTGTGCTTACCCAGCGCGCCTTTGTAACTCTTGTTTTTGTGGTTTTTGTAAAAGGATGATATTTTATTTGTAAAGTTACTTGCTTTTTACAAAAGCAGGTTATTTTGCATATTAAAGTCGATCCCAAAATCGAGTTTGCATTAGAAGTCTGCAGTAGAATTTGGAAGTAAAATTGATGTGCTAAAAATATTGTTGATAAACAGACTATTGCAGTTTACAGTGCTCCAGATTTCATCACCAATTTTTGACTTTAACCATTGCTTTAGTATTTTAGAAACTATATTATTTTCTTGGGTATAATCAGTTTCCAAAACATGTAGAGTGGTATCTTCTAAAGACTTCCAGAACTAAACGATTTTGTCAGAGCACCTTTAGATTCCAGATATTTTTCGGTATTAGCTTTAAATGTACTTGGGGCTAGAAATTTAGATATTTTTCAGATTAGCTTTAGATGCAAATGGACTAGAAATGATGCAATCAGCTTCCCGGCCGCATATTCGTATCGGACGTAGCTTATTGCACAGCGGAAAGTGCCGAACCTACGCTCTTAACGGACGCGCGTGATCGCACAACCCTGTGCAATATCACACGTCCGATACGAAGTAGGAATACAGGCACTTTTCTATATTTCCCATGTAGCTGTTTTCCGACTTATTTTTTTGTAGACAAGGTGGCTTTTATTTTTAGATGTCAATACTTTAAATTATTTTTCAATATACAGGAGGCATCGTTAGTACTAGGCAGGTGTCATTTTTCTTATTTTAAATAGGATACTATGTATACTGTTTTATCATACTGGAATTCTACTAGTCATTCTGGATATACACGTATATATATATATATATATATATATATATATATATATATATATATATATATATATATATATATATATATATATATATATATATATATATATATCTTTAAGTGTCTGTAAAATGTAAAATTTTAAATTATTGGCATCTATATAAAAATGCCACTTTTTATTTAAACTTAAAAAACCTAACCCAGCGAAAACGTGGGAAATGGACAATGATCATGTATAAACATCATAAAAACTAATATAGTTCCAAAAGTGTTATATTTAGAAAATTTATTGTCACCTAAACTAATATTCAACTGTATACAATTATTTTAAGAGTGAGGTGCCTTTGTCTTCTTTTTTGTTAAGCTTCCACCTTTTCTCCCCGATTGCATTCGTCTTTTCCCTGTCGCCAGTGTCTTTCGCCTTGAAATGGATGTCGGTTAAACACCTATCTTTTTACCTTTCCTTTGCACTTTGCAATGCGATTTTACAAGGTTAGATCTTGGTTTACATTGATTAAATTTAAACATTTGGAACAATCCACTCATTAAGGATGATGCAGAATTGATATTTTTATTATAAGCTGAGACGCACGAATTTATTGCCCCTGAAAAACCAGAGGGGTCGTCCTTTAAGCTGTGTTCTTATTATATTACTACTTTCATAAAAGTATTCATAATTATCTGGATAAATGTTGTTATAAATGTATGTATTTTCCGTTTTGTTAGATGACCATGCCAAAGTTTAAAAAATAAATAATAAACCATCCACTTCTAGCGGGCGTATCGGACAACTGATATCGCACCGTCTCGAGTAATACGCTACGTTCGATACGAGATATTAGTTCGTCTATATTCGTTGTGCAATAAGCTACGTCCGATACGAATATGCTTCCCGGCCGTCGTCGCCACGTGCGTCTAATCCAGCGTTGCCAGATGTCCAACAAATTACCTGCTTAATACCAAATAAAACCAGTTTATTACCAAATAATACCGGTTTATTACCGAATAATACCAAATTAGTACCAAAAATACCAAATAAGTACCAAAAAATACCAGTATTACCAAGTGCTTGTACAATAAATATCACCAGCGGTTTGCCTCTCAACGGTAACATTTTATGAATTTTGATATTAAACACTCTAACTACCTAACATTAACCGTTTTTGAGAAAAAAAATATTTAAAATTTTTGGACGAAAAAAACTGCCTGTCAGAAAAAGTTGTATGACCAAAACGTCAAATTTAGTGATTACCACAGTCACTGCGGTAACAAAACATTATTGAAGCTTTTTTAAAATAGTAGTTCACCTTGTATATATTTTTTTGCAGGTTTATACAAAGACTCGTAAGAAGTCATCACCCAACCAAAGTCCCCAGAAACCCAAAGACTGCGTACATCTAGACACCACGATCTCCAACGAAAGACCACCTAATTCTTACGCCTTTCAATACCCCAACTTCGAGCTAACCCAGATGGAAGACTACTCGAAAGAGAGCGGAATAAACACCCTCCCACCCACTTTCAGAGATACCAGCGTCGACTCTTGGAACCAACATTCCGAAGCCTCCAAGCATTTCAACATCTCAAACAACAAGAACGAAAGAAGTAGTGACTACCTCACCTGCTCTCAGTATAGTATCGATGCTTTGGAAAAGAACATTTTCGAAATTACTGAGGATTTGAGTAATCTGCAAGTGGATGCGGCGTTGCCGGTGGAGGAACGACCGAATAGCACCAATGGCAGCCAGGAATTGAGCTTTGTCAGTGTATCCGAGGTGTATAAGTACATCGATCAAGGGGAAGGTGTGGTGTTGTATGAAAAAAGACTCCTGAAAACACCAAGGTAAGGGAAATTCTACATAATTTAATATAAGATTACAGTTGTTGAGGGTCGGAACCTTTGCACAGTGGTTCCCAGATAGGTCATTACTTAGAGAAATATTAATTTCAAAATGTTTGCATGAAACTGTTGCTAATACTTTTCTTATATTCCCCTGTAAACGATACATAATAAATAACAAAATCAAGTAAGCCTATTGTAGCGCTTTTTTTATTAGAAATAAATGTCACATTTTTGCTACTGGTATCAAGCTGACATAAACAGTTTTCAGATAACGCCAATTAATTACTTATTTTATTAAAATTGATAAAAGCTGTTGCCTTTTCTGTAATGGACGTTCGAAAAGAAGGTAAAAAGAACGGTTTTTTTCTTTTTTACACTTAATTAAATCAAGTAATATTAGTTTATGACAATTTATTTGAAGGCAACAAAAATAATATTTTTACATTTTTGCTTGTAACAACTCAAAGACTTTTAACTATTTTCCCTTGCAAATCCTCTTAAACGGCATGAATATACTTGTCGCTTAAAGAATATTGCATATAAATTAATTGCCACTGGCTGCCGCGAATTGCCGCCGGATCTTATACCGGTGCAGTCAAGCTATATCTAGATATCTAACAGTTATGACCGCGCAGCTAATTAAAGGGAACCACTGTGCTTTGGTGTTAAACAGCAAAATAAAGCACTAATTCACCACAATACACCAAAATACTTTATTTTTGCACTTGACGCGAGTTTTGCTAACCATGTTACCATCATCAGCAAATGAATAAAACTAGACTAATATCTACAAATTGAGCGTTTATACATGGTGGCGCACCTCATTCGCCTCGGTTGATTATACGAAAACGGAAAAATATAGAAACAAAATCTTTTATGGGTATATGCGGGGAGGCAATGTGCACAATGTAAAATTATTTTGAAATATACAGGGTGTTTCAGAACTAAGTAAGATCCATACCAAAGTTATATTTTTTCTTATGGAACACCCGGTATTTTATTTAATTTTTGGATTCCTAGAACCAAAAAAAGCATTTATTATAAGCGTTAAATATGTTTAAAATCTTTGGTTTTCGATATATTTAAAGGTATTTAAATTTGCATGCTACTATAGAATAGATTGGTGAATTTAAAGGTAGAGAAATAAACTTTACTGGAAAATGTTGTTGCTTCCTTAAATTTATACAGGGGTATTAAAAATTGCTGATCTAATTTAAGGTTTTATTTCACATAAAAACTCCGTTATTTCAAATACAACACCCTGTATTTTTTTATAATAAATCGAAGCAGACTCAAATGCTCTTTCAAACTATATTAGGGTTTCCTATGCCTATCTAACTGAGATTTTGAATAAAGAGCAATTTTTCAATAAAATGGCAACCAAGAGAGCTAGTGTCGTCATGGCAAGTTTTTAGTGACAGTTAGTAGCTATTTTCAAAACCGAAATTAGTTTATGGACTTTTTTAAATTTATACCAGTTTACTTTTATTTAATTTATCTATAATAGTTTAATAAATAATATTTATTAAATATGTACATATTTATTATTTATTATTCTATGAAAAACGAAGAAGTAGTTCTTTGATTTATTTTACGATGTTGGGTAAAGATTACTTATAGTTAGGTAAATATTACTTATCCTCTCTAGAATTACTTATTCTCTGAGTTTTAAACAGTTCTGAAAATATGTACAGGGCAAAATACAACAATATAATATATTCACCACAGCATCATTACCAAATGATTAAAACTAGTTTACTTTATTGTACTAAAGTGTATTATTGCGAACTTTTTAGTGTTTTATTTTGCTGTTGTAACGCTTCGAAGGTTCCAACCGCGACTGTATTCTTGTGCGCACGGTATTACAATCTGACGATTCTTTAATTATAAATGATAATTGATAAATGAACAATGCTTTGATAATATATTTCGTCATGTTCAGAAAACGATTAGTATATCAATAGTTGTACTCTATAATGGATGACTTAAATTTAGTATTTTCTAATCTAGAATTAAATTTGACAGGACAGTGTTCCATAAGGTAAATATTTATCTATATTTCATTTTTTTTAATGTTTTTTAGTATTGTTTTTATTATTTACATATGATGTAATAAAAAATGACGACATATTAGGCATATAAATAACTTTAGTGAGAGAACCAGCCTCTGGACAGCCCACCTGATGAAGGTTAGGCCCAGAAACCGGTTGTGGGAGTGGAGCTTGGTTCCCCCCTTTACGACAAGCAAAACAATTTTCTTTTTTTTTCTCTACTTTCGATTTTTCGAAATTAGAAAAAAATACACAGCTAAAGGCAAGAAAATATTACTTATTAAATAGCTTTAGTTCGGGTATTAGTGGGTATATCGCCGAAGTTTTACACAGTTTCAATAACAGCTTATCTTATCTTATGAATTTCTACTTAACTACAATATTATAATAATATCCAATCACTTTTCAACCATAAAACAGTCTTTTAAGAACTATTTTTTTGTAGTTTTAGCGTTTAAACTGTCCTTGTGAATCTTGAATTTTTTATTTGTTTAAGAATATTCTTATTGTTATAAATAATCTATTAACCAATTTTATCTTGCCTCAATTAAAAACAAATCAATATCTAACATCCCAAATCTAAAAATAATAAGTTTAAAGAGGTACATATAGTAAGGCACCGGAGTACATTAGCGCTAGACATATTATCTGACAAACGGATCTAAAACATTGAAAGAAATGCGGCAAAACTGGCATCATGGCATCCCGGTTTCAACCGACCTAATTGGTGGAGATTCTGTCACGTTTCATTGCTAGACGGTAGCCATGCGCACATCGTTTTCTTATTGGCCAGGGTTACCTCAATTTTATACCCCTCACTGGGAATAGAGGAAATTGACTAATATTGTAGTATCCAGTGGCAGTCTTATTGTATTGTATTTTATACTTTTAACTTGATTTATGCATATTATAATTAGTACACGTTTTTCTAACAACTATTAGTTATATTTAGCAAATCACTAAACAAAATGTAGATACATTTAAAGTAAAAGAATATTATAAAGTTTGCTTTATATATTTTCGCCAAAACGCCGCACGATGCTTAATGTTTTATGAATGAAATCGGTCATATCTTTAAAAACTGCTTTTGCCTTACTGTTGTCCCGTATTTTCAGATCCGTTTGCCGGATTGTAGTAAAGCTAGAACTGAATTTTCGTCTCTACGATTATTATAGGCCAGTAAGCGAGGGTTTCAGGGTCCGAATTCTGAACACCTGTACCGATTGACGTGAAATTTTAACAGTGAATAGAGATATATGTAAGAAATAAAAGTTACATAGTAGCGATGTGTGCTTTCACCCTGGCGGTGAATGTCACCCCTTCTCGGGGGTGAAAAATAAATCACCCATTTTAATTGCAAAAATCAATAAAGGGACGAATTCTAAGCAAAAAATGTTCTATAACATTTTTTAAAATGTTCTATAACATTTTTTCAGAAAATTAATATTTTCTTAGTTATTTGGGATTGAATATGTTGATTTTTCATTTAAAAACTGTATATTTTTCTGCCATTTTTTATAAATAACTCGAAAACCTTACGTTTTATCGCAAAACTTTTTAAAGCAAAAATGAATCTTTTGGAATAACTAAACGATTCATTTTTTGTTGATTATCGTAGGTGTAATAATAACCGAGGTATCACACTGTAAAGCTGATTTTTTATTTTACGAAAACGGCGGAAGAACACATTTTTAGAAGAAAATGAATATTACCGTTTTTAAACTGCTTGAAAAGACCTTTTAAATGCTTTCTTAAAAAAGTTCGTAACTCAAAAAATCGCGGAGTTATGATAAAAATAAAATGGCCACCTCATTATTTCTGAAAAAAATTAACAACAAAATCTATGACCAAAATTATAAAAATAAAAACTAAGCGTAATACATGTACAGGGTGGGTCAAATTCGACGCTTTTAAATGGAAACACCCTTTTCTATAAGAGATAGACGAAAACTAATATCGGTGTCTGGAGCTCAATTTTCATCAAAAACATGATGGTGAAAACAGCACATCAATATCTGTTACCGATTCGGGGTGTTTTTCAAAAATCTGCATTTTTAACAAATCCCTGTAACTTTTTTGCTATGGAAAATTTTGCATTTCTATGAAAACATTTCCAAAGCACCTTTTTACGTAGAATTTAATGGTTTAAGTATAATTTTTTTTAAATTAATAATTTAAGAGTTATCAACAGAAAAATTGATTTTTTATTTGGAACACCCTCTATAATTTTAATTAACTGAAAAGAATTTAAAATTACCTTTCCAAAAATATAGCACACTTGATATTTTGTTATAATCCCCTTCGAAATACAGAATTTTTAAAAGTTCGCCATTTTTAACTAGTAGGCTTTGGACCCCTTGTTGATGATAAGCCCTTAATATGGAACTCGAAAACATATTTTTCCAACAAGACGACGCACCGCCTCTGAACGCTGAAGTTATCAGCAAATTTTTGCAGCCAATTTCAAGAATAATTGAATAGCTAACCCAGATCCCAGCCGTTGGCCGTCGAGGCCACCTGAGTTAGTGCCCATGGATATATTTGCGGTTCCTTATTCTTCCCTATAATCTCGACAAGTATTAGAAATACTTAGCAGTTATGAGAGGGTATCTTTCACCCCCACTGAGTTAATGAATTCCGCGAGAAATGTTCAAAAACTGCCCCGTCTGTCCATAACAGAAGACGGTCGATATGTCGAACACCTGTAGCAAAACCTCATGTCTTGGTTTGCTATTTATTTTTATTGTTATTAGATATAGTTTAAATGTGTTAATGTTGGTTAAATATATTTTAAATTGTTATAAAATTCTGTATCTCTCATAGCAAATATTATTTTCGTTTTAGTTGATGCTCACAGCTAGAATTTGTTTGCATTACAGCCGGTGCCGTTCAAAGCCCACTTATTTAAAGCGGGCGAATTTTTATATACTCTATATCTCGAAGAGGAATCGAGCAAAATATCAAGTGTGTTATATTTTTGGAAAGGTAATTTTAAATTCTTTTCAATAAATTAAAAATATACAGGGTGTCCCGTATAAAAAATCAAATTTTCTGTTGATAATTCTTAAATTATTAATTTTAAAAAAATTATACTTAAACCATTAAATTCTATGTAAAAAGGTGCTTTGAAAATGTTTTCATAAAAATAAAAAAAATTTCATAGCAAAAAAGTTACAGCGATTTGTTAAAAATGCACATTTTTGAAAAACACCTCGTAACTCCGAAACGGTAACAGATATTGATGTGCGGTTTTCACCATCATGTTTTTGATGAAAATTGAGCTCCAGACACCGATATTAGTTTTCGTCTATCTCCTATAGAAAAGGGTGTTTCCATTTAAAAGCGTCGAATTTGACCCACCCTGTACAGTTGGCTATATTTAGGTACTAACAATGGGCTTTGCAAGTTCGAGCGATTTGGAATGCCTAAATATGGAAAAAAGTTGAAAATAATGAAAAATTTTATTTTTTATTTTTTTTTTAAATTTTTAATTTTTTTGGCATATCTCAAAAAGTAAGCAAAATACGAAAAAAAATTAACAGGGTAAAATTGAAGGTCTTTTTTTGCAATATTTTTGTGCTCTTTCAATTTTTCCGTAGATCTCTTTATTTCATAGATATTACGTTTGTTAGTTTGACTTGCGTGTAAGGACCACCTTGTTTGAGCCCTTAAAACCCAAAAATCTCGTAAAAATGAAGAGTTCAGGACTGTTCAACTATAAAGGTTAATTTCTAGCTCGTATAATTTCCTACAAATTTGCAGTTTTTATTTTTATGATTTTAGCCATAGATTTTGTTGTTAATTTTTTTCCGAAAAAATGAGGTGACCATTTTATTTTTATCATAACTCCGTGAGTTTTTGAGCTACAAACTTTTTAAAAAAGCATGCAAAAGGTCTTCTCAAGCACTTTAAAAACGGTCATATTCATTTTCTTCGAGAAATATGTTCTCACATGGTTCTTGCCATTATTTTACGGTAAAAGGGTTGCAAATTAGTTTTCGAAAAATAAAAAATCACCTTTACAGAGTGATAACTCGGCTATTATTACACCTACGATAATCAACAAAAAATGAATCGATTCGTTATATCAAATGCTTCATTTTTTCTTTATATGAGTTTTCCGATAAAACGCAAGGTGTTTGAGTTATTTATAAAAATTGGCAGAAAAATATGCAGCTTTTCGATGAAAAATCAACATTTTCAATCCTAAATAACTCGGAAAATATTAATTTTCTGAAAAAATGTTATAGAACATTTTTTGCTTAGAATTCATCCCTTTATTGATTTTTGCTATTAAAATGGGTGATTTATTTTTCACCCTCGAGAAGGGGTGGCATTCACTCCCAGGGTGAAAGCACACATCGCTTCTATGTAACTTTTGTTTCTTACATATATTTCTATTCACTGTTAAAAGTTCACGTCAATCGGTGCGGGTGTCAAGAATTCGGAGGTAATACCCTATTTTTATCCCCACTTACTGGCCTATTAAGTCAATAACGTTGTTATTAAAAAGAAATGTAATTTGGGTGTTTGCAATTAAAGCTTTATGTTTGCAAATTTGCAATTTCCAGTGAATATGCCAAAAGCGTCAAGTCGTCCAACTTATCCTCGCTGCAGTCCACGCTTCCAGAAGCATTGGACTATGACACAGACACTTTAAGAAGAGAATTAACGCAGCTGGGGTACAGTGCTGGTCCAATAACGCTTACCACTAAGAGGGTCTATCTTAAGAAACTGTACCAGTTGAAAAAACACCCTCCACCTGCAACGAAAGAACTAACAAGTGCAGTAAAAAAGCGAGGTTAGTTTCTATTTGTAAGAAAGAAATCTCATTCTATATTTGACGAGCTGTATACAGGGTGTCCCAGAAATAAGTGCAAGTATTTTAACTGGTAGTATAGTTCAACCGCAGAAACACGCCTATGAGGATTTTTCGCGAAAAAAAAATTCAAAATTCTGTTTTTTTTAAATTTTTTTTAGGTTTTAGTCAAAAAACATAATTTCTCGAAAATAATGGCAACATAGGTAATAGATTAAATTTACAAGAAAGAAAATCCAAAAAAAGATCCAGTGGTTTTCAAAATTTTAGCAAAAAATATTTTTTTTCGGAAATTTTCAAAGTAAAATAACTCCGTTATTTTGGACTTATTTAAAAAACGATAAAGAGAAAATATGTTTCTTTTATCGAGATCTACTACCCCTTAAAATACTTGCACTTATTTCTAGGGCACCCTGTATATACACTCACCGGCACGAGAAACGGGCACCTTAAAATTTTGATGTATTTTAGAGTTTTATATATTGTATTCTAGTGGACCGATTTTGATGTTTTTTTTATGCAATTTGTAGCTAAATTATTTGACTTTTTAGTACCTCTTTCTAAATTAAAAGTGTGGTTGCCATCTGTACATTATACGAGGGAAAACAAAATGTTGATATTTTGTTGAAAGTTTAAAATAATTTTGTTATCTAGGTTTGTCTTTTTTCGATAGTTTTTTTTGATTCATCTCAATAACTTCATTTTTTTTGGAGATATTCGTTTTTATTCGCTATTGGTCCTAGTCAACAGACCTATAAAATTGTGTTTATAATTTATGTAATGGCACTGTCTTTATGTAACATGCATATATGGTTTTAAGTCCAGAAGTTGATCTCTACCATGATAAATTAAAGCAACAATAGCTTTCCCAAGTAGCATTTTCACGACTTGCGACCACATGTTTACCAAACACAACGTTGGATTAGTTACAAAAAATAGTTAGCTACTTGGGTATTAAAATAAATTTAAACGTTTTTATAACGTTGTGCCGACGTTGGACTAGTACTACAGCAAAGTAGAAGCTTCTGCGACGTCGAATAAACGTTGTCTTCTAACCTTTTTTGCTTAAGTAATCTTTAGGTGATTCGGACAACGTAGTTACAACGTTGGACAATATATAGTTTTCCGACGTCAGTTTCAGGACCTATTCCAACGTTATGCAAACGTCGTTTGTTTTACTAATTCCAACGTTGTTTAGATTTCCTTATTCTTACGTTGGTAGGACGTCGAGTCACTACCTTTTTGCAACTGTATTGAACCATAACCTTAAATCTTAAATTTTCACTTCATTATTCTGTTCAGTCAGACAGTTCAGTGCTGTTTTTGTTTTTATAAAAAAAACTTAATTAAAATGGGACATAAGAAAGGTACATATAAAACTAAATTTAAATATACATCGACATATATTACCGATAATTTATCCACTCCCTCGTTTATTTAGATTATAGAGTGCGGCACAAGCTAGACTCTAGGATGACTAAATTAGGCAATCTTGCGACGAGTATACTACCTGTTAAGGCCGAACTGCGACTTTATTAGTCCAGTATGCGACTACTCGAACTACTCCATCTTAATCTCCAAAACAACAAAGTGAAAGCCGCCATGTTGTTAAATAAGAAAACGTTTCGTTCCTAAAATAGCAATTCCTGCTTTTTGAATACATTAACTTGAAATATTTGATCCTAAAAACACGGAAACAATTTTTTCGACTGCGAATAAATTATTCTCATTTTACTAAAAAAATTCAAGAAAATTTTTAAAACTTCTTTAATTTTAAGGCCCATTAGTATTTTTCAAAGTAGAAACAATACATTTATCAATAAAGTTGTTTGCGTTTAACTTTTTTGCCTTGGGTAACGAGTTACAGAGTCGGTTAAAATATATCAATAATTCTGATCTTCAAACATCCTCCACACTTAAATACTTTTGTTTTGTTTTCCTTCACTGCCATCTGACATATGTCTCTAACTAAATCATAAAAATAATATTTTTACTATAATTATCCTAATTTAGGATAAAACGCGACTTAGACGCCATATTAGTTTTGCATTTCTGTGAATTAGGATTTTAAACAACGTTGCAGTTTGTACTAAATTAGGCTTCTAGCCAACGTCGGTATCCAACGTCGTTTCGACCCAAAAATTATTCTCCAAACTAGTGCAGACTAGGGTTGGCACGTGGTTGTGCCGACGTTGCGCCCCGACGTTTGGTCGCGTGACACAACGTTGTCCCGACGTCCAAATGCTGCTTGGGTTAGAACTTAAAACCATCTCTACTAGAGTAAACGTTAATAAACAATAATAATATGAGTTTTCAAAAAGCTATTGAGATGAATAAAAAAACAGTTAAGGTAAGAACATGACAACCCGTTCATTCAACCTTTATTTCATTTTTGTTTTGTCATTTTTTTGATACATTTTTTGAATGTTTTTGTCATTCTTCAGACTAGTTTATAAAAAACGTACGTTCCTTTCAACCGAATGCTTATCCCTCTAACAATATTGTTTTTACTTTACAGTTTACTCTTTGGAATTGGAAAAGACATTACGCAATGCCGAGTGGCGCATCAGCCTGGAAAGCTACAAAACTCTCGAAGCTCAACTCAGCGCACAATTCAGCAAACCAGATCCTTCCAGAAAATGGCGAGAAGGAGTGAACAAAAGCTCGTTCACTTACCTTCTCCTGGATCCCCGCGTCACAAGCAACCTTCCATCCAGAGCTGATAATCTTCCACCTGAAAAAATCTGGGAAACTTTTTTGTCGGCGATTTTCTATGTGGGTAAAGGGAAGAGATCCAGACCTTACCAGCACCTTTATGACGCCGTCCAACTCTGGAAAACTCAGGAGGCTCCTTCAAGTAAAAAACTGAAGAAAATCGTAGATGTTTGGAATGATGGAGGTGGTGTGATATGCTTACATGTTTTTCTTAACATCATTCCAGTGGAAGCTTATACTAGAGAAGCTGCCATGATTGGTGCTCTTGGTTTGGAGAACTTGACCAATGCAAAAGGTGGAGAATTTTACGGTGTTGCCGCTACCTGGATGAGCAGACAGAAAAGAATGCTAGGTGTCTATTTATTGTACAGAGCCATGGGGATTTTTCTAAACGAAGGTGAAAGACAACTATATCCAGAGGATATTAATTAAATTTTGTGTGACGTGAAGTATATAAAAATAATTTAAGAATGTCTATTTTAATTTTACTCATATTGGGTACTGCAAGAATATACCTCTTATATATTTACTTTATATATTTTTATAATATATTAGACGTATTTTTTGGAAAGAGATTAATATGATTTCTGATGTCTTCTATTTGGGGAGATTAACTTTATTTTGTAGCTGTGAAAATGCAATATACAGAGATATATGACTAAAGTATTTTTTATATGAATTTTTCTTAATAAAGATTATTTTCAATTACATTTTTTTATTTTCATATGAAGGAGTGTTTATAGGTATGAAATGTCATTAAATCTAATGGAGTTTTTGATAAAACAAGTTTTATTAATTATTTTTTAGATCTAACAAGAAGAGTAAGATCAGCATTAAAATTTCCATAATACACCAATAAAATTTACTAAAGAATAAACAGAAGTATCTAAAGAAAAGACAAAGAAGTCTTTCAATTCTTAAACTAAATTTTTACAGAAAAATGATGCAAAGGAGAATGAAGCGGTCTACGAAATTATGTCAAAATTATTTTATCACAACTCTTCTACGACTAATCTAGTCCCTAAAAAAATATAAGGAACCTTTTTGTTGAGAAATTTTCTACATACTTGAAAGAAAGAAATGCAGACTTTACCAACACTTTTCTGACCCTGTACAACTCTGGAATACCCAGGAGTCTCCTTCCAGAAAATGGGATGAAAAAGTGAATAAAAGCCTTGTATATGAATTTTTAAAGTAGCTCAACCTAAGGCGTTTATGGATGTAAAGCACCAGATGGCGGGGCGTATTTCACAGTCTTTTACTAGAGAAAAATATTTTTTGTTACTCTGAATTTTGAAGCGGCCAATAAAAACAGAGAAAATAAAAATCAATAATTTTCGGACTGTGCCAATTGGTTACTAATCGACCAGATACTTTTTGTCTATTAGATATGCTATAAAAAGCTGGTAATTATAAATTCGACCATTGTAAATACCCGACAAATTCCGCAAGGCCGACGAGGTCGATGTTTTTCACTGATAAGAAAAAAAAATGTTTGTTTAGATAATTTTCGAGATATTTTTTCTTTCTGAATGCACATTTTAAAGTATTTTATATTCTTTGTCCGCTTGATCTATTATACTGGTCGCACGTATCGAAGTTTTATTTCTTGTAGTTTTAAAATATTTTCTTGTTTCTTTGTAGTTGTAATGTAAAATTAGATTAATTTATTAAGTTTGATTATAATGTTTAGTGTAGACTACCAGAAGAAATTTAGTAGTGTTTTTATATTTTATTTTGAAGTTAAGTAGTAGGTGAAGGGGTAATTTGGTTAATTTTTCTTTATGTTTGATTAATTAATAAGTTTGATAATTTGTTTAGTGTAGAATACAAGAAGTAGTTTGTGTAGTGTTCTTGTAAGAGATTATATTCATTTATTTTGTAGTTGAGTAGAAGGTGAAGGTATTTGGGTATTTTTTTCTTTTTGTTTTTCTTCTAATAATTATTGTAGTAGTTCTTTTAAATATTGTGATAGATACATTATAATCTTCCTTCTACTTTTCTGGTAGTTGAATATACGAAAAAAATCTGATCAAATTTATTTTAAATGAAATTAATCTAGTCTTATTAATTAATCAAATTAAACTAGTCAAATAATATTAATTGCAATCAATTATTAAAAAATATTAATTATTTTGGAAAATAACTTTTGAAATGGAGTATTATTGATAAAATTTAGCCAATTTTTTTTACCCAGTAGCGTATTTCAATATGATCTTATCATTTATCACTGTATAATAACTTTGTTGTGGCAGAAAAATATACCAGTTAGTTTCAAAATATTATTTTTTTTTCAAACGTCACAAAAGTATTAATTTTTGCGACGTGATTGACAATATAAAAAAGTCATTTTAACGCCTAGGCATAAAAGTAAAGCACTTTACGCCTAAGCATAAAAGTATGAAAATATATTATTAAAATGACATAAGTCTCAAATTCAACGAGCCGTAACCATAGTTTCTCGATATATAATTACTCATGGTACAAAGAAAACTTGAAAACAAGGTATGGTCGATAGCGTCTCCAATTTCGTTCAGTTTGCGCATATCGCCTGTGACGTCATATGCCATACAACAAAATATCCGTATTGTTCAATTGCCACTAATAAAAAAAGACCTAAAATAGGGAAGAATTAAATAACCCCTAAAGTTATGTAAAATCATCGAGCTGGACATTTGAAAAGTTATGACACATTATACACATTTATTATGTGTCATCTGTTTGAAAATTTGAAATTGGCGCGTGGAGCTTGCCGACCAATATTGCCGTTTATCACCTGTGACGTGGTGACCAACCTGCGCAATATCATACCTTGTTTTTTTTGTATCATGATAATAACGTTTCAAATTGTTTAAAACATTACTTGTGGCTTTTGAAAAAAATAGCATGTTCTATTCGGAGTAAAAATGACTTTTGTGCTTCGGCTGTATGTCAAACCTACAGTCTCGCCACGAAAAGTGTCATTTTTACTCCTAATAAAACAATATATTAGAAAGTTTTATGGTTTAACGGGCTTTGTGAGTTAAAACATAATGATATTTTCAGTTTTTATAATTCTTGATCGAAAATAAACGGCGTCAGCGATGGCTATGAAATGAAGATCGCTGTCATTTTATATGTAAATTTATGTGGGAAATGTCGTCGATCGTCATTTCCCTGCCAACTGGACGCCGTTTTTTTTTCATATGGTACAAAGTTAAAGCAAACTTGGCTCTGACCATGTTTTACGCTAAGAAAGATTTCGTGTAATAAAGATTTTAAATGGTGTATTAAGTACATAATATTTATTTAAATGTCAAATAATATTATTGAAACAAGTGCCAAGTTTTATTTTTAATTAAGAAAAAAATTGTATAAACGTTTTGTTTTCAAAAAAAAAATTATCTTAAATTCGTAAAACCTCAATTTAGAATAAAATGATCGAAGAATGAAATAAAATTTTATAGCCCTGGGTCAAATCGAAATAAAGTAAGTGTATGTAACTTTTTTTAAATATTAATAATTACCAGTAATTAGCATTAATGTACCAACATATTGAAAATTGTTATTTCTTTGTTAAATACGGTTTAGAATCCTTAAAATAACAGCAAAAAAAATCCAAAATCAACAATGAAATAATAGTTTTGTTTAAATTTCTTAATCAGCTGAGCCCTATTATAGTTCGCAAAAATCCGAGCTATATTATTACATTACTCTGAGGGAAATACCGCAAATAATCGATATTTTTGACTCCGCCCCTAATCACATGCTTCGTTCTTTTAAAGCTTTACGATTTGTTCACTAGAGGCAGCACATTTTGTCGAGAGGTTGACCAACTTTAAGAATATAAATATAAACAAGGATAAAAGCTAGTTCACTTACTTTCTTCGGGATCCTCGCGTCACAAGCAACCTTCCATCCAGAGTTGATAATCTTTCACCTGAAAAAATCTGGGAAACGTTTTTGTCGGCGATTTTCTATGTGGGTAAAGGGAAGAGATCCAGGCCTTACCAGCACCTTTATGACGCCGTCCAACTCTGGAAAACTCAGGAATCTCCTTCAAGTAAAAAAGTGAAGAAAATCATAGATGTTTAGAATAGAATAGAATAGAATAGAATAATTTATTGATGTCAATACCATACAAATAGTGGCGAACATAAGTCAAAATATAAAATAAAATACATATATAAAACACAATTAACTTAAAAATTAACACAAAAGACATAAAGTTAAGACAATCATATTAGATGGGTACACAATGACAATTATATACTCTAGTTAATACATTGTAATATAAACATAGGGTGGGAGTTTCCAGTTCCCACATTCTGTTGTAGAAGGAATTTCCATTAAGCGAGATTAATATGTATATCACTTGAAAGAAACTCCCTCGAGTCATACAGTGGATTTTCAAGTAACCAGCCACGAACCCTGCCCTTAAACACCCTATCGGACAATAGTTTATACCCATCCGGAAGTTGTAAAACTTGTAAAACTTCACACCCCAGTATCTAGGTCCATCTCGAGACCTTTCTAATCTATGTATAGGGATACTGAGGTGCTCCGCCCTACGAGTGTCATGAGAGCCGTCCTGAGCATTTGTGGGATATTTTTCCGTATTGGCTTTAACATATAATAGATTTTCCAATATATAAAGATTTGGGAGAGTAAGTATATTTAACATTTTAAAGGTTTCCCTGCAATCATCCCTGTAGCCCAATCCTCCGACAACTCTCACAGCCCTCCTCTGAAGCGCGAAACCCCTGCGCCACTGAGGTGCGTGACCCCAAGCCAAAAGAGCGTAGGACATCACAGAATGAAAAGAGCGTAGTAAGCCGTCCGCAATACACAACAGGAAACAGTACCTGAAAATTACGCAGAACGAAGAGCGCGCTTCTTAGCTTCTTGCATAGTTGCTCAATATGAGCATTCCATCTCATTTCACTGTCCAACTGAACCCCTAAAAATGGAACAGATTCCCTGGAGAAGCGACAGTCCTCAGGCACACTCCTCAAAGAAAAAATTACACGATTTGTTTTGGCCTCATTTAAAACTAGGTTATTTTTCCGGAACCAGTCAGCCGCCCTCGCTTGAGCGTCATCCGCGCCTCCCTCTAGGTCTTTTAGTTCTTTTCCTCTGACCGAGACCGCTGTATCATCTGCGAATAAAACGTAGTGGTCGTCACGTCGGATATGTGGTAAGTTGTTTATATAAATCAAAAAAAGTAAAGGGCCCAGTACTGAGCCTTGTGGGACACCATTTTTAAGAGGTCTTGGGTTCGACCACACACCATCAACGACCACTCTCTGTATTCTGTCCTCCATGTAGGATTTCAAAAGGGCAACACTACCCTCACTAAATTTATAATAGTCGAGTTTTTAATGAGCAACTCGTGAGACACACAATCGAAGGCTTTACTTAAATCGCAAAATACCGCGCCAACATGTTCCCTACCCTCAAAGCCATCCAAGATGAATGACACGAGGTCCAGAATAGCCAGCACAGTGCTGCGTCCGGACCTGAAGCCGAACTGTTGGTCGTTCAGCAATAAATTCTCTTCAAGGAATAACGCCATTCTTGAGGCCATACATTTCTCAATGATTTTTGAAAAAACAGGAAGCAGTGAAATCGGACGATAATTAGATATATCATTCTTGTCCCCCTTTTTGAATACCGGTACGACAACAGCCTCCTTGAGACAACATGGAAAAATGCATTCCTTAAAGCACAAATTAATTATTTTTGTTAGCGGTATAAGGATAAGCTCCCTTATCATCTTTATAATCCTATCACTGAACCCAAATTTGTCACGCGAATCTTTATTTTTTAAATTAAGTATTACGTCCCTGACCTCATTATAACCCACATCTCCGAACTTGAATTCCTCATCCGCCAGATGAGTAATCCGAAATGGAATATCTTGTGTAAAACACTGTCCATTTCCGACCAAGACATCCGCCACACTAGAGAAAAAATCATTAAATGCATCGGGACCAATTGTCATTGAGGGATTTTGTTTCTGCTTGTTTGCACGGTTGTTATTCACGATTTTCCAAATACTTTTTGACTTATTTGTTGAGTTAGAAATAAGTCTATCATTATATTCCCTTTTCGCGACTTTAATTGCCCTTCTATACTGTTTTTTAAAGCAGTTTTTATTGTCAAGCAGTTCTTGGGATGGGTATTGTTTAAAAAGATCATTAAGAAAACACAGACGTTCTCGCATTTCCCGCAGTGTGTCATTAAACCAAGGAAACAGAGTCTGATATTGTTTATTTTTATATATTTTTTCTGGAAAAGAAGCATCAAAAGCTTCTTGAATCTTATCACAAAAAAGTTTGCATTTAGTACTGACATTTATGTTGTTTTTAGATATAAAAGACCAGTACAACTAAAGTAAAAAAAGATTGCTTACCTCTTTCAGTGATAGGTCTATATTTCCTCATCAGTGTCTTGTTATTTGTATCGCTATACATTCCAAACCGAAGCTCTATTAAGTTGTGATCAGACAGATCATTGTCGATTATTTTGATATCGGTAAAAAGAACATCGAAGTTAATAAATAGGTTATCTATACAGTTTCCGCCGCGCGTACCAGCACTCACCAATGCACGAAATCCATATGATTTCAGCATGTCATTTACCAACACTGACTCGCTTTGTTTTGTACCAAAGAGTACATTAAAATCGCCTACAATAATGATTTTTCTGCGATGTCCCACACTGTCAATGGCTCTGCCAAGTTGAGTCACAAACACCTCTATACTTTCTCCAGGAGATCTGTAAACGCAGAATATATAAATATTGAGACTCTTTATGTAAGCACAGCAAAGTTCTATGATTTTTTCTATTGAAAATTTCGAGATTTTAGTAATATTATTATGTTCAATAGTAGAGTCAAGAAGGGTGGTTACCCCACCTCCTCTGGACTCCTCCCTACAAAAAATTGAACCCACAACAAGTCCAGATATTTTAAGTTCAGCTGACTCACTACCGTCTAACCAATGCTCAGAGATACACAATAGGGGAGAGTGGGGCAAGTGCGGCACCTTAACGTTCAATGATGTACCATTTTTTTATTTTAAGAAATAGAAAAACGTCTATTACATAAATACTAACTTTAACTGTATAAATAGTAATCTACCTTAAAAAATACACAAAAAATTAAATATTTGGTTAAAGTTCAGATTTACAAAAAAAAATGTCAAATGACTCACTTGCCCCAAGGTATGGGGTAAGTGAGTCACCCACAGACTTAGCTAAGTTTTTGGACATGATTGACAAATTGACACATTCCGGATTGGAGTTCTTTTGAAGAATGATCTCAACAGATGCTCTTTTTGAATTAATAGATTCTTCTTGAAGAATATTATCGGCCGCGTCGCTTTCTTGATCGGATTTTTTTTGAAGAATATTTTCAGCCGCTTCAAAGTCTATTTCCATTATTCGCAATTTTATGTCCATTTGTGCAGTGAACACGGATTTAAATCTGCCTAAGTCCAAATATTGCCCTTAATTTATGAAAAAAATCTAGGTAATTTGCCTTAAATATTACATAACATGATGTGGAATACGAAAAATATTTATATTTACCTTAATTTTAGCAATTTTCAGCTAGATTTTCAATAACACTAAGCACTTGTTGATAGGTACGTAAACTTTACTGATTGTTATTGTCTATGATGCCAAATGTATGAATTATTTCGAAAGACGCACTTGCCCCCTCTGCCGCACTTGCCCCACTCCCCCTATATCAAGTTTTTTTTAACATATATACGCCTGAATTTCATGCAGTATATTCTTAAGTGATCTAAGGGTTTGATATATTAATGTAATAGTTCTCAAAGTATCATTTGAAACATTCTGATATTGCACTTTAGATACGTAAGCACCGACAGAACTGGTAGTATTGTCAAAATTAATATCTTCTTTGTTGTTTTGCAAAATATTTATTAGTTCTCTTCCGAAAAAATGGCGAAACTTGAGCATCTTTAGGCCATATCTCTGGATCCCATGCCTTATCGTAATTTGTTTCATCAATAATTACCTTGAAAGATGAGAAAAAGTTGGTATTTCTTGATTCCAATTTCTGACATTCTACTTCTGGGAAGTGAGTTTTTAATAGTTGCTTGAGTTGGTCTTCTTTTACATTTGGATCTAATTTAGACACGAATAAAAATTGTTTATTTGGTATTGCACTAATTCCGTCACAATTTACCGCACATCCTATTATCTTATTATTCCTTTGTATGTTGTTTTGTATCCTGTTTTCCTGTTTAGTGTTTCCATCGCAGTTTAATTGTCTAGATTGTGTTGATATTGTTGTTTGTTTTGATTTAGCAGTAGAAACCAGATTGGACTGCGTCCTGTCATGATTTTATCCATTTCGGCGCGTGTTCGGATTATCCCTGGTAGATCGCAGTTTTGTTTGTTTATTTGTTTTTTAAACATGTTTGGAATGATGGAGGTGGTGTGATATGCTTACATGTTTTTCTCAACAATATTCCGGTGGAAGCTTACACTAGAGAAGCTGTCATGATTGGTGCTTTGGGTTTGGAGAACTTGACCAATGCAAAAGGTGGAGAATTTTACGGTGTTGCCGCTATCTGGATGAGCAGACAGAAAAGAATGCTAGGTGTTTATTTATTGTACAGAGCGATGGGGATTTTTCTGAACGAAGGTGAAAGACAACTATATCCAGAGGATATTAATTAAATTTTGTGTGACGTGAAGTATATAAAAATAATTTAAGAATATCTATTTTAATTTTACTCATATTGGGTACTGCAAAAATATACCTCATATATTTACTTTATATATTTTTATAATATATTAGACGTATATTTTGGAAAGAGATTAATATGATTTCTGATGTCTTCTATTTGGGGAGATTAACTTTATTTTGTAGCTGTGAAAATGCAAATATACAGAGATATATGACTACAGTAGTTTTTATGTATGAATTTTTCTTAATAAAGGTTTTTTTTAATTACATTTTATTTATTTTCATATGAAATAGTGTTTATAGGTATGAAATGTGATTAAATCTAATGGAGTTTTTGATAAAACAAGTTTTGCAAAATAAAATTACACTAAATCACCACAATACATGATGATTATAAACTGAGTTTATAATCATCTGCTGATGATGCTAACATGGTTAGCGAAACGCGCGTCCAGTGTAAAAGTAAAAGTGTTTTGGTGTATTGTGGTGATTTAGTGTAATTTTATTTTGCTGTGTAACACCAAAGGTTCCAACCCTCAACTGTAAAAACAAGTTTTGTTAATTATTTTTTAGATCTAACAAAAAGAGTAAGATCAGCATTAAAATTTCCACAATACACAAATAAAATTTTCTAAAGAATAAACAGAAGTATCTAAAGAAAGTACAAAGAGGTCTTTCAATTCTTAAACTAATTTTTTACAGAAAAATGACGCAAAGGAGAATGGAGCGGTCTACAAATTTATGTCAAAATAATTTTATCACAACTCTTGTACGACTATTCTAGTCCCTGTAAAAATACAAGAAACATTTTTGTTTAGTAATTTTATACATACTTGAAAGGAAGAAATGCAAAGTTTACCAACACTTTTGTGACCCTGTACAACTCTGGAAGTCCCAGGAGTCTCCTTCCAGAAAATGGCGTGAAAGAGTGAACAAGAGCTCGTTCTCTTATCTTCTCCTGGATCCTCGCGTCACAAGCAACCTTCCATCCAGAACTGATAATCTTCCACCTGAAAAAATCTGGGAAACGTTTTTTTCAGCGATTTTCTATGTGGGTAAAGGGAAGAGATCCAGACCTTACCAGCATCTTTATGATGCCGTCCAACTCTGGAAAACTCAGGAGTCTCCTTCAAGTAAAAAACTAAAGAAAATCATAGATATTTGGAATGATGGAGGTGGTGTGATATGCTTACATGTTTTTCTTAACATCATTCCAGTGGAAGCTTATACTAGAGAAGCTGCCATGATTGGTGCTCTTGGTTTGACCAAGTCTTGGTGAACTTGACCAATGCAAAAGGTGGAGAATTTTACGGTGTTGCCGCTACCTGGATGAGCAGACAGAAAAGAATGCTAGGTGTCTATTTATTGTACAGAGCCATGGGGATTTTTCTGAACGAAGGTGAAAGACAACTATATCCAGAGGATATTAATTAAATTTTGTGTGACGTGAAGTATATAAAAATATTTTAAGAATATCTCTTTTAATTTTACTTATATTGGGTACTGCAAGGATATATCACTTATATATTTATATATTTTTATAACATACTAGCGTGTACCAGCGACTTCGTTAGCGTCGAATTAATCATTTGTAATGGTTATGATAAAGGAAAGCAAGAATTTCCATTAACATACAAACTGGATAAAATTTTCTCACATTTATGTCAGCATGAGAAAAAAACAATATGGCGATATTATTATATAACTTGGTAATATTTGAGGGGTAGTTTCATCTTGTTGGAATTTGACTTTCGAAAAATCCCTTTGCCAAAAATAAGCTTTTTACGTCAAGCAGTTTAAGCAGAATCGTGGTTAAGAAATTACCCAACTTTTTGGAACACCCTGTATGATTTTTTTAAAAAATTTCAAAATATGTAAAAAGAACAAATAAATTATGCTTGTCCAAGCGTTTTCCCGAAAGACTACCGTTTTTTAAATAACAAATATTGTAATATTTGAGGGGCGTTTTCACCCTCTTGGAATTTGAGATTCGAGAAACCCCTCCTTATCGAACCTCTACACCCCACAGTCAATCCGTTTGCCAAAAATCAGCTTTAAACGTCAAGCAGTTTAAGCAGAATCGTGATTACTCAATGGTCATATTTTATGAAACACCCTATATAAATTTATAAAAAATCTTAAAATATGTAAAACAACAAAATAAAATATACGTGCTTAAGAGTTTTTCCGAAAAACTCACCGGTTTTTAAATAAAAATATTTTAATATTTGGGGGATAGTTTCACCCCCTTAGAATTCCAATTTCGAAAAATCCCTTCTTATCGAACCTCTACACCGTAAAGTCAATCTGTTTTCGAAAAATCAGCTTTTTACGTCAAGCGCTTTAAGCAGGATCGTGATTTATCAATGACCAGATTTTTCGAAACACCCTGTATACATTTTTTAAAAAGTCTTAAAATATGTAAAAAAACAAAATAAAATTTACGTGTTTAAGCGTTTTTTCGGAAATTTGACCGTTTTTTAAATAAAAAATATTGTAATATTTGAGGGGTGGTTTCACCCTTTTGGAACTGGAATTTCGAAAAATTCCTTCTTATCGAACCTCTACACCCTAGAATCAACCTGTATGCCAAAATTGAACTTCTTACGTTGAGTGGTTTGAGCAGGATCGTGATTAATCAGTATGTCAGTCACTTAAGGATTTTATATATTAGCCTTTGTAATCGGGAGATTAATGTATTTAACAGAAATTGATATTTTAAATATAATTCTAACTAGCTTGACAAAAACAATGTCTTCTCTGGGCCGAAATCAATAATCTCTGACATTCAACTGTTTCCAAAGCCTACTACTCCGCGACTCGCAAACATCAGCGGACACGGGGTGCAGGCACGGCGTGAAAATGACTGCCTATCATAAGGATCATAGGCTTCGATAACACCTTGTATATGAATTTTTAAAGTAGCTCAAGCTAAGACGTTTATGGATGTAAAGCACCAGATGGCGGGGCGTATTTCACAGTCTTTTACTAAAGAAAAAAATATTTTGTGTTACTCTGAATTTTGAAGCGACCAATAAAAACAGAGAAAATAAAAATCGATATTTTTCGGACCGTGCCAATTGGTTACTAATCGACCAGATACTTTTTGTCTATTAGATATGCTATAAAAGCTGGTAATTATACAATTCGACCATTGTTAATACCCGACAATTTCCGCAAGGCCGACGAGGCCGATGCTTTTCACTGACAAGAAAAAAAAATGTTTGTTTAGATAATTTTCGAGATATTTTTTCTTTCTGAATGCACATTTTTAAAGTATTTTATATTCTTTGTCCGCTTGATCCAAAGACATTATAAAGATAGACCGAACATCTCATTCATAAATACTCGTTGGTAGTGTATCAAACATTCCAATGTGTCAAACAAGAACAGAAGAGACAGAGAAGTCTAAAATTTCCGACCCCGGCAACTAGGAGCAGTTCGATTGTTCTAATGGCCAGTGGCGTATCGTTTTTTGGAAAGCATTTAATTTGTAAAGTAAAAGTAAATTAATTAGTAAAATTTATACTCCATATTAATATACTACATTAACACTTTTTCGTTAGATGTGTTTTGTTATAAGGTCTAATATAATAATATAATTAATATCCCACATATACCTATGTTGAAACGTTAGTATGTGGTTTTCGAAAATCGCTCCAACGTCGATTTTTCAATTTAAACTTTCAGTTACTTCTATATAAACTTTCAGTTACTTTTGAATATTCACAGGGTGACTCAGGCTTCCGAAACAGTTCTATATTAGGTTTGTGGTTGGTGACATTTCTTTCAATTTTTTTCAGAATATGGAGGCAATGGTAAAGCAAATTTTAGACATTTTTGTAAACATAGGTGGCCGGAACATATTTTCAAACTAAAGTTGTAGATTTGCCATTAAATTTCCATTCCAGAAATACCTAGGGTTGCCACCTGTCCTTTTTTGAAAAGGACAGTCCTTTTTTGGAATAACTTGTCCTTTTGACTTTTTTTTACTTAAAAAGTCATTTTTATTTTCGTATTTTCCCTGAGAAAATTACCTACAGCAAACAGAAATATTCTTTTCGTCCAAATTTAATTAGAGATGTTATAAAACTTATAAATAAATTTTTCTTGTTTAGAATAGGCAAGAATTATTTACAGTTAAAAAAAGGTAAACACACCGTACAAATAACTCTAGGAAGAGGTATTTGTACAGTGGTGAAAAATTGTCTAAATAAAGCCGAAGTGGCAGATATAATAAAGCAATAAAATGTAAAAAAGGCCGGGTAACACCTTTGTTTATTTGTTGAGCAAAATTCCTTTAGAATATCGTATATAATGACCAGAAATGACGCAATTTTAAGAAAAAAATGTCACTTTCTGGCTTATAATAAAATTTCAAATGCAACGTTTATATTCAAATTTGTTATGATCTACAACAGTTAGGTAGTCATTGAGACGAATTATAATTCAATTACTAGCTACCACGTTCTTGTTTTTAATAATAGATTAATTACAAATATAATTAGAAATTATTTTGATTGTGAGAGGCTCCCTTGTGGGACGCCTATGTACAATGACGAAAACAATACCCACCTGTGAAAAGACAAATTCGGGTAATTTGAGCTTATTTTTCCACACACTTGACACTGTCGTACCATACTGAATTCGCAGATTCAAAAGTACGTTAAACAAAAACCACCGAAAAACGCTGAAAGTTCACTTTCGTCTTGATTCCGACTTCAAACACACCGCAAGCTAAACGTAGTACGCTATAACGGACCATGGGCCGTCGCGAGGGGTGGTGGGACGGACGGCCCATTTCATTGTGAAAGACTAGTAGCGACGTTGCCAATAGTTCTAGACGTTTCAGCACATTTAACAGTAAACATGTCCTTTAATAGTAACGCATATATCCTCTGGTTAATAACCATATTATTACGCATGCTTCTTTAAAAATAAACTATTAATTTAATTAAGAAATTGAGATTTATTGATATCCGGTAAAGGTTTTAAAGTCACCTTTTTCTGCAAATCAAACTGAGTAGATAGGCGTAAATTTGAGATGCGGCAATGTC